CTGGGTTATATTCATATGCTTAGATTATTATCTCAACCTTAGGACTAATTTATTCTTAAGATAAACTTCTCAAAGACTTCTGTATTCATTTTTATAACTGGCCTAGATATCACTATGACAGAACTAATACTTGCGATCATGACTAACTATTAAACTACTATGCCCTTGTAGAGTTCATTTAGACCCCAGTATCTACTTCACAGCATAACCCTGGTACTTTAGTATACTTCTGCCTTTTTACTTGCCTTCTTATCAAACTTCTAATTCAGATAATATATATAGAACTATGATCAGTTCATTGGTATATCAGGTCAATCTGATATCTTTTTTCTCTAGTTCATTCAGGCAGCCTGGTTGGTGGTACCTCTGAGACTTTTAATCCAGAGGTTCTTGTCTGTCTGGCTACTATAATTAGGTACTATAACCTTGGTATCTATTTTTTCAAACTAACCTTTACAATAGAACCATCGAAGATCCAGCTATCTCTCTACTCAGGTCTTTCTAAATGGACTTCTTGTTATCTAATTTCAACAAATTTATATAACCACAAGAACTTATCTAGTGTTTGCACTGCCTAATTTGTTGGTTTGCATTTCTTTGTATAATGCTATACTTATACAGATGCCCTATGACCTGTTAGTCATGCTGATATGATTATATTACAGATATCCTAACCTAATCATTAGTAACAGTTATCATAATACAAATATTACATAGATGATTATTCAAATTTTTGCTATTGATGTGATTTGAACACCCAACCTACTACTTGAAAGGTTAACAACCTGACTACTTCACTAGGTCATCACACTCTAAATAGTTTTTAATTAATAATATAATCAATTATTATTAAATAATTATTAATTATTAATAATGCAGAAGATCTCAACTATATTATTATATTTAAAAATAGTTAAATTTATGTTCAAATAATCAATTAATACTAATATATAAATTATTTTTCACTTTGATTCTATAACAGATAATAAAATAGTAATTTAATTTTGTTGAATCTAAATTCTTAGAGTTTTAATTAATGAATATTGTGAGTCCCAAAAATGTAACATATTCATGTAAAAAATGCATGAAGTGCATTTTATATAGGGATATAGAGGGGTATATAGAAGGATAAAGCGAAGATATAATTAAAAATTAAAAATTCTTAAAAAAATAATTGTAAATAGTTTATATAGTTTTATTAAATATTAAATACAATATAGCATTTGTAAGAAACAGAAATGGGTAATATAAATAAAGACTGAAAAGGCCCTTAAGAGCATTATATCTTGTTTGCTTTATTAAATAATAAGTTTCAATCTTATACATTGTCTATAATAATACATTAACACTATACCCAATATAAACCCTATAAAAATTGTTAATTTGTTTAAGTTCTTAATTATGTGACTTACCTGCCTAACTTTACTGATCCAAGTAACCAAAGTCTTAATCACCTACTAGCCAAATATAACACCCTCTTTTGAAAGGTTATGTATCATGGTTATGCGAGATTTTGGATTGTAGAGCAGTTTTCTGATGCTCACAATATAAAATTTTATAATAAATAAATATACCTTTGAAGAAATATACACCACTTATTATCTATTGACATTTTTTAGTTTTTTTGATAATATGTGTAGTAAGATTTTTCACATTCCTTTTTAAAATTATCATGCACCGAATCTATGCCTTCTTTAAGTTTTAATACAGGTCATTCTATTAGCATTAGCTTTAAATAAACTGGTTGGTTTTTATGTATAGAAAACAAACAGAAGTTCACAATTTAGATATGGAAAAAAGATTCTTCATGTTTTTTTTTATATCTTTTATAAATATTTTAAAATATCATTTAAACACTCATCTTAACCATCATTCTACTTTCTCTTTCTAATAATTTCTTTTAATCCTCCTTTTCAAATACCCTTTTATAATTCAAAATTATGTTCAAGACTGTTAAGTCTCCATATTATTCTGATATTTTTTAATACTGTTAAGCCTTAATTGAAGGTACCCAAGTAAATTCAAGTAAATGCATGACACAATATCAAATTTATACTCTTGACCTTTATAAATTTTGGTTTTTGCTTAAAAATGCCTGTTTTATTATATTGCATTATCTGAATTATGGATAAATCTTTAATTTTCTACAAACTTAAAAAGTTTTTAATTATCATTATCATAAGATCAGTAATTATGATCACAAGTTTTATAAAATATCTTTTTATCTTATTTTTTAACCATAGGCCAGACTGGTGCAAAACTTTATTTCAAGGGCAAGCAATACTAGTATGGCAATGAAGTTGAAAAAGACTTATGTAAAGCTTTCAAATACTTTCAAAAATCTGCAAAGATGAAGCACACTGTAGAACATATTTTGTTGGATATTGAAGTTGAAAAGAATGAATGTAAGGCATTTATTTATTATCAAAAATCTGCAAAGATGAGGAATGCTAGTGGAATCTATAATGTTGGACATTGTTATCAAAAATATAAGGCATTTATTTATTATCAAAAATCTGTAGAGATGGGAGATGCTAGTGGAATATATAATGTTGGATGTTGTTATTGAAATAGAATTAAAGTTGAAAAGGATGAACATAAGGTATTTATTTATTACCCAATATCTGCAGAGATGGGGGATGCTAGCAGAATATTTAATGTTGGATCTTGTTATCTTTATGGGATTGGAGTTAAAGAGGAGAACAAAAGACATTTATTTATTATGAAAAATTTACTAATATAAAAGTTTTAACTAGAATTTCTTAAGTTGCATATTGTTATAGAAATGGAATTAGAGTAATAAAAAATGTACAAAAATCCAATAAGTGGTATCAAAAGTAATATCCTAGTTTAAAGAAATCAGTTTTTTTTAATTGCTATTAAATCGTATTTATAATGCTTTATTCTGATTTATGATACAATAGAGAAAAGTTTTAGTTATAAGAATTATCAAGTAGTTCATTATTCAATTTGATTTATTATTTGCTATATATTATTTAAATCTATTATTGAATTTAAGTAACAAATGACTGGATAAATAAAATTCCTAATTAATGATAGTTTAAAAAAGATATTGATTAATAATAAACATTCACTATTATGGATTTCTTATAATGAATTTAAAATTCTCATAGTATTTGAAAAAGGCAAATTTGCAACAGTATATAAAGCTGATTAAATTCGAAGAATAGAAAGAAATGTTGTGCTTAAATTATTACATGGATCAAACAAATATCAAAAAGAGTTTATAAAAGAGGTAGTATTTGTTTTAATTATATATACATATATATATACTAATTAATTTAGAGAATTGCTATTTTCACCATGGTATATTAAAATATTCTATTTTTAATTAGCTAATTAAATTTTAAGAAATATATTTTTTAAAAATTAAAGAAGTTTTTATTAAGTAAAAGTTTCTTGAACTTCTAATTAAAGTTGTAGAGCTTGTTTTTCTGATTTTAATGATGATTAAATCATTAAAATTGGCCTGGTAGATTCCAAGATATTGAGGATCAAAGATAAGAACAAAAAAATCTACAAATTGCTAGTTACACAAAATACTGTTAGTATAGTGTTACAAGCTGACTAGAGCAGTCATGGCTAAAGCAGCTTAGCTGGTTAAGCCAGCTGATACAAGTGTATCAGCTGGCTAATATAGTTGAAAGTATACTATTTATGTAATGAATCAAATTGAACATAGCAGTAAATATAACTGTTTACTAAATATTGTTAGAGATATGTACCAAAAATTCTTTTATTTAAAAGATTGGGGTTTTTTTTTAAATTGTATTGTTTTTTTATCTGTAAACTAAAATCTTATTAAAATATTTCTGGATCTTTGATACTTTAGAAATGTTAAAATGTTTTTTATTGTATTTGAAAATCAAAATTATAAAGAAAAAGGTATAAGCTATATACTTCAAATAAACTAATCAAATAAATGCTTCACTTTAACTATCTATATAAAATGGTTTATACTAACATAAAAAAAAATATTCAAAGTTTCTTTGTATCCTATTTAGTCTATTTAAGAAAGTTCAAAAATTTTGAATTGTTTTAAAAAAAAACTCTATAGTACTTTATACAGTGCTCTATATATTTATCAAGTTTATTGTTTAAACTATTACTTATTTAAACTATCTAAAATTTAAATTTTTTTTAATTAATAAGAATGCTAAAATTTTTATATTCTATGCTATTTTTCCTTGTGCTTGTTTTGTAAAATATGTACAAATTTTAAATTTAAACCAAACCTGAATATACATTACAAATTTTGGAGTTTTCATTAAGAAATAATATATTATAAACTGTATCAGAATCTAATTAATTTTTCTTATTAGTAATTGTATTACCTGCATTTGAAAGATTCTTTCTGAAGATACTGATATAGCCAAAAAAGCCAAATATTTTCTTGTCAATTGAGAAAGAAAAAAAATAGTGTTTTGTATTTATTCTATCAAGTTAATAGATTAATCTTACTATATTTTTTATTTGTAATATGATATTTAGAAATTTAGGATAGATTATCATAAAGAGCCACTTCTTTCTCAACTGAGAAAAAATTCTTATTTTTAATTAAAACATCATTTTCATCATCATAAAATGAAGCAAAAAAAGAAAAATTAGTGCTTGCTTGTTCTGTTTCTTAAATCAAAGTTAATTGTTTTTAGTTATTACATAAAGTATAAAAATAAGTAAGAGTTTCATTTTTTTTAGTTGTTATTATATAACTCATTTTTTTAAATCTTGAATCTAAAAAAGAAGCAATTAGGCTATTAAGTGATGGTTCAAACCATCTTGATAACATTGATTCATTAATTTTACTACAACAAGCTCTTACTATTATTGATATAATTGTTGGATATAAATCTTATAAATGGCATGAAAGCTTAATAAAAGTAGAAATCATTATTTTTAAGAGAATATTAATTTTCTCCAATATACCCTATTGCTTGTGCAAAAGGATATAAAAGTTTTGCTAATTTGTCTAATAAATTTCATTCTTCAGTTGATATTAAAAGCTCTAAAAATTTTAATCCATTCTGTTTTTTTTGTTGATTAACACTTTGTTTTAAATTATTAACTAATCATATAATAGCATTATAAAGAAGAAGATTTTTTAAAAAATTATAAGTTGAACTTCAATGAGTTTTAGTATCACTTGAAAGAGAATTAACTAGATGTTGTAGATTTAATTCAGCTTGTAGTCTGTAAAGTTTTTTACAATATTTATCCTGATTTACAAAAGTATTTAACATTTTTGTTTTATTAATTAAATTACTAACTTTTTTAATATTAAATCCATCTCCTAATATGAACTGAATTGTATGTGTTATGCAACCTATGGGTAAAATTATAATTTGTGTAAATATAAAATTTTGTTGAGGTATTGCATATTAAATATATTAAATTGTTTATATTGATTATAATCAATTGAATTCAATCGATTATTATCAATAGTAGTAATAGTAATTGATATAATCAAATTGATAATAATCGATTATAATCAAAATGTTAAAACTGATTTAAAATAATTAAATTAAATTGATTATAATTGATACTTCTATTTATATTAATTATAATCAATAAAAATCTCTATCGATTTTAATCAGTAATAGTAATGAGAATCACTATATTATTAAAAACAAAACTTGCACAAAATTTTATTAATATAAGAATATAATTATTAAAATTTCTACCTATATGCTTAACATCAAGTTGCTTTATTGCTATAACTATTGAAGAAGCATTATCTGTTGAAGCTCTAAAGAGTTTATTATATATACTCTACTGGTCAAAAAGTTGTTAACAGAAATTTTCAATCTGATTACTTGTATAAGGATAATTAAACTTTTGAATTGTAAGAAGAGCTTGGTATAAAGTAAATTCAGAACTGATTCAATAAATAGTTACAGCAATATAAGGTTGATGAAATTGAGACCAGAGATCCATTGTAAAACAAAAGAAATTCATTGTTGTTTACAATAGATTTTTAAGCTATTGCTCAGCAAAAAGTACTGATTGCATTAATTTTTCTTTTAACTGATCAATGCATAAAAACATAAATCTTGGCTCACATTCAAGAATTATATTTTGAAAGCAATTATTAGTAGTAATATAAAATGATTGAAGATCATCAACAATTCAAGCTAAAATATAATTTGTGATTTTATCTTGTTTTGAAGATGATAAGAGTGTTTTTTTATTTAAAAAGTCATATAATGATGATTGATTTGAAGCTATATTGACTAATTGGTTATTTTTATTATTTGTTTCAGAGAATAAAATTTTATAAATTTGATATAAGTAAGATTTTAAGTTTCCTGTTTCAGTTGATAACTTATATTCTTAATCACAAATACCTTCATTACCATCTTTATTTGTAATTTTAACTTTGCAATATATCTTTTTTTCAACTTTATTTTGTCTAAAATAAAGCTACATTCAACTTTTACTAGGTCTTGATCTTTTGTTGTGAATAAAAATTTTTTTTGAATTATTTTATCTAGACTATTAGTAATGACAGTAATACTGTTATTATGTGATATAGATTGGTTAGGTAAGCTTGAGTTTAAGTCAATATCTGGATTGTTTAGATTTTAATTTTCTGATATATCTGATGCATTTGATTTATTTGATTCTAAATCATCTTATCTAACAAATATATTTTGTTATTATAAGAATCAAACTGATATTGGTTATGTATTAACATTTTGCTACTAAAAAATTTATTTGTAAAATTTTTATTACAGGATTACAGAAAAAAAAATCAAATTATTTTAATTTTTTTATCATCTTTATTTATATTTGATTTTATTTTATTTACATTATACACTAATCTTATTATTTATTTTTTTATAGATACATATTCGATTAATTCATATTATTAACAAGTAATTGTTTAAAAATTTTATAATTAGAATTAGATATATAATTGTTACTTTTTGGATAGCTATGTATAGTGGCAAACCAATTGTGGATATTGCAAATTATTTGTCTATACTATTTTACTAAAGAATAGATTTAACCAAGGCAGCTCCAAAGTAGTAGTCATCTTTTATTATGATAACTATACTATATAAAGTAATTGGCTTTTAAAAGAATAAGCCAAGGTATACTGAAGTGTGGCACTAATACTTAAAAAGAATTGCACTTTCAAGTAAAGATTCGGTTTGGAAAGTCCTATGATTGTTTATTTTATAATTGTGCAAGATAATAGTATTATTGTATTTAACAATATTTTGAAGACTTTTTTGACTAATTCAAAAAGACAACAATTATGTAGTACTCTGTAAATTCAAAATTTGATTTGATTTTTTGGAATACTACAATTGTATGTCTAATTTTAGCAAAGTGTCTAAAATTAATACAAAATTATATTATATTTAATATAGTTAATTGATTGCTAATATGTCAAATGTGTACTGGTTATTGTTGGCATTCTGTTAGCAAGTTAGTTACTAAATGCTAACAATAATCAGTATACATTTGGCATATTAGCAACCAATTGAATATAATATAATCCTGTATTAATTTTAGATATTTTGACTAGTGTCTGAATGGTAAGAAAAAATAGACAGTATGTGCAATACTTATATTTATTCATGAACAATAGCAGTATGTATATTTATGTATACATATATATACTTGTATTTGCTTATCTTTATTGTTTTTATTGTTCATAAGTTTATATTATATTATTAGCATTAACTTCAAGTATACAGAAACTTGAGACAGTAAAAACTATACAGAATTTGGATCTCAGCCTTTGAACAGAATAATGAATTATTGATAAGTATAGTAAATTGTCTTCTATTTTCTTATATATTTATGATTTTACTTATTAATTTCATAAAAATAATTGATTTTTTATTCTAATAATTTTATTATCATTATAATTTAGGATGATGTATATTACAATAGAATTTTAAGCTTGAACAATAATAGAATTCAATTTTTTTAAAATATAGATTATAATTTATTAATAATTATTACTAATTATTAAAAGATAACTGAACCTTAAAAATAAATATGATCAGTGTTTTGTATTTATATGCTACAATAAATTTTAAGTTGGTTAATTCCTAAAGTTAGCTTATTAAAAGTTGCAAATGGTATTTGTGTTCTTAATATTATATATATTATGATAAATTTTAAGTTAATCAGTTCTTCAAGTTAACTTATTAAAAGTTATAAAAGTGCAAAAAGTATATCGATATATATATATGCACATAATCAATACAAATTTAAAAAGGTGAAAATGCTTTACAAAGGTAAATAATTAAATAGATTTTAATATTTTGATATATACTATACAATATATTAAATTTAAGTATTATAAAAATAATATGTATATAGAAAAAGTTATATATATATGTATATATTATACTGTATATATTAATTATTATATTAGGCATTATTAGCCACTTAACCGATATTTTTATCAGCTGGCTAAGCCAGTCAATAAAAACCATTTGGCTTGTAACACTATGTTAGTAATAGAATTTCGTGTAACTGACAATTTGTAAATCTTTTTGCTCTTATCTTTGATCCCCAATATCTTGGGATCTACCAGACCAATTTTAATGATTTAATTATCATTAGAATCAGAAAAACAAGTTCTACAATTTTAATTAGAAGTCCAAGAAACCTTTACTTATTAGATTTTAGGGTTAGGGTTAATAAAAGAAAATTTATTAAATTTTAAAAAGTTTATATATATTATTGTTATAAAACTAAAAATAGAAAATCTTGTATAACCATAGTGAAAATAACAAAAAGCTATGGTGGAAATAATAACTCCCTTAATTTATTTTCAAATACTGTCAACTATGGATATAACGGACATCCTTACACCGGAATCACCAGTTTAACAGACCAAATTTGAAATACTGAATTTTTAATATATAATGTATAATGGTTATAACGGATTTGATAGTAATAAAGTCATATTACGTATAACGAAACTCTTTGCCAGCCCATATACCGATTTTATTATAAATTTTAATCTATATAACGAATTCAATATAATGCGACAACTTGCAACCAATAAGAATGCAATATATATATATATATATATTAACCATTATAACGGAATCCAGCCTAACTCTGTTATTAATTCCGTTATATAGGTATATAGGTATATAGATACGTATAACGAATAGGCTATATAACGGAATTTTTTGGTCAGCCCAGATTTCCGTTATATCCATAGTTGACAGTATTAAAGTTAAAAGCATATTGTGAAATTGGTAATAAAAATTCTTCATTTTTCAAGTGTTTTGGAATATCAAGAGATGATACTTCTAAGGACTATATTCTTGTTCTGGCACCTGCAACGAATGGATCCTTACGTGATAATCTTTACAAAATAGCACAAATGAAGTGGCGAGATAAATTAAATTTATTACTTTGTATTGCATCAGACTTCAAATAATTCACTCTCGTGGGCTTATTCATCGAGATTTGCATAGTGGTAATATTTTGCAAGATAATTTATATAGTGCATATATTGCTGATTTAGGACTTTCAATACAATCTAGTATAGCATCTGAGATGAAATCAGAAATTTATGGAATTTTACCATATATTGCACCCGAAATTTTTGATAAAAGGCCGTATACTACAGCATCTGATATCTACTCATTTGGCATAATTATGTGGGAAATTTTATATGGTAAATTGGTATATTGCGATCGAGATTTTAATCAACAACTTCAAATAGAGATATGGGCTGTGTGCTGAGAAAAGGGACCAAATTGATTTTTTTTTTGAAAAAAAGTTCTTAAGTAAAATAGATGTAGATTTGATCATCTGATTCAGAACATTTATTATTTTCAAAAAAATTTTTTTGTCAATTTGGTCCCTTTTCTCAGCACACAGCCCATATGCTGTGAGAACTTGAGACCAACAATCATTAGGGATGCACCACAGTGCTATATAAATCTAATGAAAAAATGTTGGAAAAAATGTCTGAAGGACCGTCCAACAGCCGAAAAAATTTATAATACTTTTACAAAATGGAAAGATGACGAAAAAATATTATTGGAATTGTCTGAATCAGAAAAAGGATTAAAAGATGATTTGAATATACATAAACAAGGATACATTGAATCAAGTTACAGAAGTAAAGCTTATTACTCTACAAATCATATTCTCAAGATTATCGAGGTATAATGTTTGAGTCCTGATAATCCAGATATCTAAAATTGTAAGTTAAATTAGGTAAAACCGAATTCTACACACAACTTGTAAAATG